TTCATCCCCTAGATATGAGGAACTGTGTTAAAGGCTTGTGATGCCTATCTCCCACCACTATATGGTTTTAAATAATTTGTACTTAATGGGACAACAGCTTGTCGTTTTGGAGTAGTAAAATAAGAGCAGTATCTTTTTCTTCTATGAGTACCATAATGGTCTTTTTGATTGTATAAATGATATTTTGGGGATTACAAACTATAGAAAAATGTCTGGTAAAAAAGTTTGGTAAATCAGCAGCCCCAGAGCCTGTATTTTTCTACTCTGAGCTATAATCCCATCAGGGTTTTTATAAGGTTAAAGTGACTCCAGTCTTTAGCCATTTTAAATTTGCAACAATGTGTTTGTGACTACAGTTGATTAACCTTCTGCAAGGAATGCTTCCAGGAGTACAGATGATGCTAATTTATTACTGTTTATTGCTTCCTTTTTCCTCTTGGGTTGACGTATCCCCACACTATTAGAGCAAGGTAGTGATACATTTTTCAGATTTGTTCTTTTTCCTGGATTGTAAAGGCATTTTTAGAAAATGGCTAGTTTCCCTGTTCTTTGCATTCACCAACAGCCTGCTATGAATATTTTTTATATCCTAATGATTTACAAAATTAACTTCTCTCTTTTTGTTTTAAGTAGCTTCAGAGAGTCTCTGATCTAAGCTGTTGTTGTGTGCAATCTGTCTGCTTTGAATGTTTCTCTTTTTCCCATCTGATATTATATGAATTTAACAAAAGTGTTATCTAAATATAAACATACCTATATAAATATCTGTGCTATAGTATTTATTTTTATGACTTTTTCTTTTTACTGTGTGACATTACAAATACCAAGTTTATTTAAGGGTGAAAATTGATTTATGTCTTGCATTTGCATAGAACATGCTGGAAATACATTACATAATTTCAGGTGAAAATAACTTTAAAATTTTTCATATGGAGTGCAGACTTAGTAAAGGTATATAAGAATTCTGTGTTTGAAGAAACTTGCAGGACGCTGATGAAGTACTTGCATTAGATTTCAGCACTGATTAAGTATAAGAAATTTGAAAGCAGCAAACAGGCATAACATCTTTGACCTTGACTGGAGCTTGGCCTTCTCTGTGGAGCACAGGACTCAGTTCTATAGGAAGAGTTTGCTCACTCTTTTATTATGTTTTCTTGTCATCTCTAGTATGATTCTCTCTTGGAATGGGGAGTAGTACCTTGAAATTAACAAATGGTTGTTGTAACAGGACTGAGTGAAATCAGCTAAGAGGGCGTGTACTAAGCCTTTAAATGATGGTGTTCCAACTGTTCTTTCTCTTCTTCATTCATTTACCTTCCTCACTTTCCAGATAGTAAATGCACCTAGCCAAGCATGCAGACACACACAAATACCTCCGTATCTTCGAAATTAAAAGTGAAACTTACATTTAGTAGGTTGCATAACTGCAAGTGTATAAAATGCATATGAAATCCTGTATAAATTTCTGTATCATTTCATTATGTCCCAATTTAATTTTTATTCACAGCCTGTTTTAGAGGCCCATACGTTGTTCCAGAGTGTTTGAGATACATCATAGTTTGAATTTAGAGACAGAGAATTGTAAGAAAATCTTCCTCATTAACATATTTTTGAAATGTTGGTATTTTTATGGAATAGAAATGTTTGTACTGGATATGTGGTCCTTCGTGGCTTCCTTATTCCTTCCTACCTTACTTTCTACCTTCTATGTTTTCACTTCCTAAATCTCATTATATGAGAGCTACAGATATTATCACTTTAAAATATTATTTTCCTTAGAAGAAATTGGTACAACTGAGGTCAAGGGAAGCTGACAGGGATCTTCTGTGTCTGCAAACATAACCCCTTCCACTGAGCACTACTATGCTTCTTTCTTTGTGGCATGTCAGGAGTTCTTCTGCTGACGAGTGAATATCTTCTCAAGTATATATTCCATAATGACATCTTAAAGTTTCTTAAAAACTTATCAATTAATTAACATTTTCTTCTGTGAAGATTATAAGGTCAAATTTTAATGTCTAAGCTTAACGTTCTTCTATTCTCATCTTTTAAATTGAATCAGTACTTAGGGTATCATTTTTCTTGAATTGCCTTTCTTCATGTAGAATTATTTTTGAAATTTGTAAAGATGGTAGGTAAAAAGGGAGGACACAAAAGACCATTGCTTTTTTCAGCAGGTTTTGAAACTTCGAAAGAAACTTTTAAACACTGCCAAGTCTGATGTATTTGATATGTATCTGAGAATTGAAATATTTAACTCTGCTGTTAATTTATTATTTTCTTTGGAAATCCACACAAGATTTGAGAGATTTGATATTATCTATCTCTTTTTCAGTCAAGCTGGTTACTATTGATCTGTATTCTTGCTGTCCTAAATACTCGGACCTCTTCATAACTGATACAGCACTTCTGTGATCTGACTGACAGCATTTGCAGGCTAATTACAAGAATCCAATGCACTTCAGCATTATTCTACTTTGAAATGTTGGTTCATCGTACCAAATAGTAAATTTGCTAAATGCAAACCAGCACTTGGTGGGTAATACATACATACATACATACATACATACATACGCAGGCTCTCCAGTATCAGTTTACATATCTAATATGCAAAGTTTGCAGATTGACCATGGGTGAAAGAAAATGTATGTGCTTGTGCTGCATACATTGAATTCACAGAGTGTTTCTTTAGCTTAATTCAAGACTGTGTTTCTTTAATGGTGTTGCAATGGAGGTAAGAACTATACATAAGTGTGGTGGCTTGGCCTTGCCTGGTTACCAGACCACTGCCCAGGTATTCTCTGACTTGATAGAGCAAGGAGAGGAAATAAGATGAAGAAGTTCATGAGGTGAGATGGAGTAAAGATGGGGAGATCCCTTACCAGTTACCAGCTCTGGCAAAAGAGGCTTGAGAACTAATATAATGTATTGCTAGTTAAAAGTAGAGTAGGATGGTGAGAAACAAAGGGAAAAACTGAAGCACCTTGCCCTGTGCCACTCTTCCCAGGATCAAAATCTCTCCTTCATTCCCAGCTCCTCTTGTCTTCTCCCCCATCAGTGGCAAAAGGGATATGGAGAATGGGAGTCTGTCCACCACATTTCCTCTCTGCCACTCCTTCCTCCTCATGCTTTTCACCTGCCTCAGTGTAGGTCTTCCCCATGGTTTGCAGCCCTTCAGGCAAAACCTGCTAAACCGTAGGTCCTCCATGGGCATTAGTTCTTCTAAGGAGAATTTGCTCCAGTGTGAGCTCCACGGGTGGCAGTTTCTTCAGGAAATACCTACGTTACTCCAGCATGGTCTTATCCATAGGATGCAGGGAATTTTCTGTTCCAGTGCATGGGGCACCTCCTTACTCTCTTTTCTTCTCTGGCTTTAGCATTTCCGGGGTTGTTTCTCACACGTTTTTCCCCTCACTCCTTAGAATTTTGCCATTTCTGAATTATGTTTTCAGAGAAGCACCACCAGCTTCACTGATGAGCTCAGCCATGTCCTGTTGTGGGTTCGCTGCACAGCAGCCACAGACCTCTTCTCACAGACACCATCTCTGCAGCACCCCAGTACCAAAAACTTGTCACTGACACCCAGTACAGTGAGATGGAGAATCACAGAATCATAGAATAGCCTAGGTTGGAAGGGACATTAGAGATCATCTAATCCAGACTCCCTGCCATGAGCAGGGGTGCCCTTCAACAGAACAAAAAGAACATGAAGAAATGAAAAACAGCTCCACAAATAGAGAGATTTGGTTTGGTTTGTTTCTCACTATGGTTACTTCTTTATTTCTTTTAGTATCAGTTCAACTACAATGTGTTTTCAATCTCTAAAAAACGTAGATCAGGCTTGTGTTTTTAAACTCTTTAAAGATGGAAATGGGGAAGAAGTAGTGCAGATGTGTAATTGGTGCTTGGGCTGCACATATGGTGTGTAGTGTGCTGAAAATACTTTTCTTAAATTAAGGAGAGCATTCTTTGTTTACTTTTTGTTCTCACCCATTGTTTTAGAATAATACAATTTTTAAAATCCTGCAAAAGTTTTTTTTTTTCCTTTCACCGATCTATTGAACAGCCTTGTTTAGGTTTGGACTGCATTTAAAGTAATGAGAAGGTCTTATGTCACTGCGATTGTATCTTTGTCATTTAGGACTTATGTTCCTTTTTGAAAAGTTGCCAATTTGCAACATCTTGCATATCGCTACTCTCTACTAGTAACAAATACAGTTTAAGTATTTATTTAATTAATCATCAGGAATGCAATTTACTAAATGGTGTGATGTGTTTCAGTTCCATTGCTCCTGTGTGTGAAACTGAAGGACTTGCCTGTGCAAGAACCAACACATACATTTAATTATCAGCTACTACTGTCACACTGCATGGGCTACTCTGATATTTTTTGGCCTTTGCTTTTCAGATATTCACCATGAAATAACCTTTTGAGTCTTTGCACAGTTTCTCATGTAGTTTTGCATCCTGTGTTGATCTGCATTGGTGCCTGAAGCTTGAATAAAGCTTGGATAGTTCTACAAAAGCTATAATATCACTGTGGCTGAAGCATGTGTATGTTGTAAGGCAGGTTTAACATTGCATCTTAGAAAGTATTTTCAATTTGTAATTTAGATATCCATTCTGGAAACACTTGTAAAATTTCTCACAATTTTATGAACTTAAAGTAAGCAATTGATTTTTAAGGGACAAGGCTTAATTGAGCCAGCATTTTGTATTATCAGACATGACAAAGAAAATCTTAGGAATTCTTAGTGAATAATAGGACATGATTCAGTTTCATTTACAGTTTTAAAAATAGTGCATGATTTTTTCTTGTCGTAACCAGAGTTACATTTCAATTCATAGTGATATAGTAGTAATGTAATTTTCCAAAATGGCGTATTTATTTTCTTTTTAGTGGTCATTGGTAGCTCTGAAAACTATGCTATTTTAAAATGGAATTATAACAAGGTTTGCTAATGATATACTAAAGTTAACCTTGTATTTTATTATTTCAGTTGTTCATGGTGGACAATGGAGCAGATGACTGGAGAATAGCCATGACTTATGAGCGTATTTTCTTTATCTGCTTGGAAATACTGGTGTGTGCTATACATCCCATACCTGGGAACTATACATTCACATGGACAGCCCGGCTCGCCTTTTCTTACGCTCCATCCACAACAACAGCTGATGTGGATATTATTTTATCTATACCAATGTTCTTAAGACTATATCTTATTGCCAGAGTTATGCTTTTGCATAGCAAACTTTTCACTGATGCCTCATCTAGAAGCATTGGAGCATTAAATAAGATAAACTTCAATACCCGTTTTGTTATGAAGACTCTAATGACAATATGTCCAGGAACTGTACTGTTGGTTTTTAGTATCTCATTATGGATAATTGCTGCATGGACTGTCCGAGCTTGTGAAAGGTAAGGTTGTTTTGTTTGTTTAGATCATTCTGTCTGTCTCTCTGTTTTTCTCTCTTGTTTTGCCTCCTCAATTTTGGATTCAGGGGACCTAAATATTTAATGGAATGGAGCTTCCAGCTCCTTGATATTTTTAGTGTTGGTGGGGTTGTATTCTGGGTCACAGATTGTCAGGAATGCTTTGCCTTTTAATCTGAAGGTCTTGTGCAGACAAGTTAATGCCACACTGTTTACTGATTTGATTTCATGTGTTTGATATATCTTTAGGTGTGCTTGCTAAAACACAGCGGACAAATGCCATAAAATGCCTTTAACAGCAGTTATGATGTTCTGCATTGCTATCAATGTTCATTAATTTTGTTTGTAAGTTATATTTGTTGAGGATAAGATAGATAAAATAGCCCTGTAAAAGTCCAGTGGAAAATATTTGTGAGTTTGTTGTTTTTTTTCTTTAATTTGAGTGTTATTGTGCTTTAAAAAAATGGGAGTGAAAAATATTTTTTAGGAGTTGGCAAGGTCAAAAAAGTGGAATAGGTAGAACAATTACAGTAATATAACTCCTTTTCCTTCCCCTAAAAATCAGAAAAGCTACTTTTGAGGGGCAGACTCTGATTCATTTCAGCCAGTTGTCCAACCTCTCCCTCCCAAAATTCAGACTCAGTGCAAGATAAATGGCTATCTGTGCTGATAACTTGAAATATAATTTCTCAAAAATAGCTCTAACAAAAAAGAAATTAGCTTCTGATTGAATAGGATTGCTTAGAAATGTGAGACAAGTTAACTCTAAGGAGACAATTAGGATGATTATTTGTGAAAGATGTAATGCCTAGGACGGCTTTTAGGTCCTGGAATGAATTTCTCCTTACTTAAGCTGGAAGATCTTCAGCATATTTAAGTCGTTTCTGCTGCTGGTTGTTGGCCATTTTAGTTTTCCTCTCCCTTTCTATATCTGCCCATTTTAGAAACAGTTTAGGGGAGTTATTTGTCACAGCTAGCTGGTTTAAAACAGCAGTTAAATTGCACACCAACTGTTACGATTATGTTATTCCTTACATTACTTCTCAATATGTTACACAGAAAAATAGTTGATCTTAGAGACTGAGGTTAGAGATCATTTTGACATTCTAGCTTTTATTATTAAAATTGCCAGAATTGTGGAATGTGGTGTGTTACAGTAGATGCTTCATGTTACTATTGTATCACCATGTTATGGCAAGTCTGTAATCATATAAGAACGTTTTGAAACTGCCATATTAGCAATGACATATTATAGTTTCAAAATATTCCCTGTAGTGGGAGCAGATGGAGTACCCTAGATAATCATTGCATTTTAATAAGCATGTTCTTGTTTCAGATGTAACTGACTTCTGCAAAGCCTCTCCTCATTTTCTCACAGTCTTCACCTCTGTTGCCACTGGTTTTCTTTCAACAGAATTACAGCTCAGGAATTCCTGATTTTCTACTGAAATTTTTCCTAAATTGTCACTTGTGAAGTGGCTCTGAATAACTTCAGTATCCATTGCTGTCACTGTTTTCCATATCACTGGTTAAGAATCTGTATTAT